TAGTAGAGGTTCAATTACATTATTCAATATTCAAGCAATAATCTGCACACAAATTCTATTTCAATAAGGATTTTTTTTAAATCAAACTTACGCAATTTCAGGGAAATTTCTAAAATGTACAAAAACCAGGAGAATTTTAATTAAACCCGTAGATCAGGAGAAACTGGCAAGATCTAGTAGTCTATTGGAAAATCCTCTAGAGTTGGTAGCTATGATGAAATACTAGAAATTGTGTCTGAAGTAACTATATTAATACATTATATTGCTGACTCTCTGCAGTGAAAAATGTGTATTAACTCATAAATTGTCATGGTGGTAAGAATAAATTTAAATTAGCATCAATAACCAATACAGTAATATAATAAACCTTCACGTACTTTCAATACAGAAAGCACAACATAAGTTACATCTTTTTTAGACCAACTCAGTAAGAACAGAAGAAAAACCCCAGACAACAGGTTTTTGAACAAGAACGTCCAAGCCCCAACGATGCCATCCTTGGTTCAGATTCGCTGCTTTGTTAAATTCATCAACACTAAGAATGAGTCCTTGCCTATAAAAATATAATAAAATTCATTATTATGGCATTACTTTTTATGCTGAACTCAAGGATTTAAATATCTTATTAATTATAACAGAGCCCTGATAATCCCAAAGTTCTTTAAACAGATTGTGAGCTCATGTTAAAATTCCAGAAAGTTTCCTGAGTTAAAAAAAAACCCAGTTAAATTGAAAAATTAGAAAAAAATTTAAACAAGGTTTCTTTCCTTTTTCTCAATATTTCACCTATGATGACCTGGAGAAGTAATTAAAATTTACAAATATGCCTTTCTTTATTTGAGTTCACGATTATAATAACTATTTACTGATAAAAATGAATATTAATCATGAATATAAGTTTATAAAGTATCTGGCTCTCACTTACAAACAAATAAAATAAATTGTGTTTTTAAGTTCCACCTTTGAAAATTTGATTTCCGGAAACTTCCGTAATCAATGATTTTTTGAAAAGCCTGGACCTTTGATTTCCGGATCACTATTAGCGAAAAATCCAGATTTTTTCCGGAACACAAATCCTGTTTAAAGTAACTGACCATTTTCGTGGATCATGTATGAATAGTGAGCAAAAAAATAAAACGGACTAACTTTTGGTCCAATGATCCAATCTTCACATTCTAGGGCTCAATCCTAATGGATTTTCAGAAAAAGATTATTATTTATATATATATATAAAAAAAAAACAAACCAGAAACGTTTAGGGAATTGGAGTTTTTGATAAAAAGGCTGAAATTCGAGAGACAAAAGCGAGCTAAAAAGGGGAAAAATCTCATCCCTGACTTTTACATGCTTATGCCCCCCCCCTCACATAAATGAGAGGTCACTGTATATGTTGGATAGCATAATTTTTTTTAAAATCTAGGTTTGTGTACATACCTTGCCTTGTCTGGGTTTGAACCCCAGACAAGGCATGTATCTTTTTTTCATTTCAAGGATATTTCTGTATTGTGATCTTTACCCCAACTACAACCACCAGAGTGCCAAATATACTTTAAACTTGTAATTAAAAAAAAAACAAAAAACATGCAGATGTTTGCCCAGGGTGAATATGAGTTAAACTTTTCGAGTTGGTCCCTTTCTGTCAAATTTTTTTCCAGTTTAACGCGGAACGCTGCCAGCAAGACTTGGCGATTATTCCGATATAAATCACAATAAGGAAAACTGTCCCTTTCATTTTTCTGTACTATCAGTCCTTATTGTGGTAGCAAAGTGGGCTTACCTTATACAGAAAGAGTGGCCAACAAATCCGCCCTAATACACCTAAATTGACAAATGAAGAAAAAATAGTACCTGAACATATTATCCAGAACAACATCGAGACATTGCGGTTGTTTCCCTTTTCTGTGTAATGCAGCACATAAGGAAACTTGAGATATTAAAGGTGATTGACTTTTAATGCAAAGTTCCTGTATGGTAGTCGTCCAAAAATTCATTTTCCCATCCCAACCTTCTGGATTTATAAATCTTTCCCGAAAAGGAGCAAACAAAAAATTCATACGGATGTCATCCTTCCATGTGTTAGGAAAATCAGAAGAATTAAAATTCAATTCAGGTATCATGTTAACAGCACTAGGAGGAACTCAAAAAAAACTTATTTGGTAGATATACTATGTAAACTGAGTATGTTGTGAAGCAATCATTTTATTAAAGTCTTAAGTACTTGATAAAAACCGCAATAATTATGGATTCTGCTATGCCACAGAAAAAGACAACACTGAAATAAAAACATAAGAATGATTTAAAATATTTTCATAATAAGATTGCCAGATTACGAAATATGAAAACAGCAGAGTAAATGACGCTAAATTGGAAGGACGCTAAAAGGAATTGAAAGCAGGATGGAGTGAGCTTAGCACTAGCTTTCGTAAAGAAGATTACTTCGAATAAAAACCGTATTTGGCTTGTTTAAACAAAAGCATTTATTTATTTATTTTATTATCCTTCATAGCGTCCTCACTTTTCAACTACAATATTGATTGATTTGTTCATTTAATCGTAAGGACACAGTTCCCAGCAGATCACCGAAGTAAAGCATCACTGGCTGCGGTCAGTGATGATCCAAGTGGGTGACCACTTGGATCAGTCTGCATAGGGACCGCGGGTGTGCGGTATTGGTCTCTGTTAAACTGTTCTACAGCAAAGTGCACGACTTTGCGTGCAGGTCGTCAGGCTACCGAAGAGTAGGTGCATCCCCTCTGCAGAAGATCAGAGTTGCGATGGCATGTCTTCGGATCATCCTCCGGGATGTTTCCCTGACCGTCGCCAATAGCCCATTGTGCAGCTCTAGTGTGACGTAAATGAACTACATACAACAAACCAATACTTATTCAGGTGAATATCACAAATGAAGAGGGTCCAAACTGATTGACACAGTCCCCAAAGTTAGAGTTGAAGCAGGAATAAAAACGATGCCCAAGGCCAAAACTTTCCGAGGCTGAAAAAGCCAAAGAACGTAGACGGGAACACCTTGCCTTAAACGTTACCTTATATATCGAAAAGCATTCTATATAAATAATGTAATAAAGATTTTAAAATAGTGTATTTTTTTCATTCCTCAAATAATTTTCAAAAATTATTCAAATTAAAGCATTTTCCCCTCTGAAATTACTCATAAAAGGCCCCAAAATAAAGACAGGCCTGGGGCTCCTAAAAACATGAAAACGGCTCTGATTCTATACGAATGAATTGTGAAACTAAAGATGAGCATAAACACTGCTAGTAGTGCTTGCTTTATGCTTATGTCTATTTTAGTTTGTAGTTTGTGGAATGTTTTCAATATAACTATTTGTCTTTTAATTTGAAAATATTAAAATTAACGATAGTTCATGTCTTATTTTTTTCAGCTGCAACCTTAACACTGTTCAAAAATATTTTAATACCTGTAGTAGTTATTATTTTTTGAGTTCCTAGTGTTGTTGTGTAATATTTTAAATTACTAATTTTCAATGACTGAGTCTTGTCTATAGATCAAATATGTATTACAAATGCTAAAAAATAAGAATTTACATATGTGTAAAATAAGGTAATTTTAAAACAAACAGTTTAGATTAATATATTATAATCCTTATATATTTTTAATATATCTTTAATTTAGATTTATATATCATAGTTTGAGCTGAAAATAATCATTAATATTCACTTTTTACATTCCATCTACCATGCTCGAAAAGGGCCTATTTCACACTTCATCGTGGGTGCCCACTTGGATCAGTCTGCGTAGGGACCAAGGGTGTGCGGTATTGGTCCTCGTTAAACTGTGCTACCGTAAAGTGCTCGACTTCGCGCAGGTCGTCGGGCTACCGAAGCGGGGGTGCCATCCCTTCCGCAGAGGATCAAAATTGTGATGGCATGTCTTCGGATCATCCTCCGGGATGTTTCCCAGACCGTCGCCAATAGCCCATTGTGCAGCTCTAGTGCGACGCAAAGTAACAACGACAACAACAACACACTTCATCACTTAGTAAAAAAATTTCAATTCATAAAGCCTGCAAAATTTGGTTTGTTAAATGCTTAAAAGTAAGCCTTTCATATTAATTTGAATTGTAATAGCATGTGTTTCTGTCACAATTAGTTAATGGGTCAGTATCGCCCGGTCGCACTGGGTCCATGTCCGAGAGTTCGTGGGTTCGAACTCCGCCGGCCGAAGACTTCGCGTGTAGTAAGTGGTGACTGATGCACGTTAAATCTGTCGATTTTGCTTGGCCACCGCAGGTGGCCAGGCTGGGTTTACGTCCTTTCGTGGTCACTGCGTTAACAATATTCCCCACCAGGCTCCTCGGGCACAGAGCCCAGGCACTCGAGATAAGGATCCTTAGCCCAGGCACTCGGGCTAAGGATCCAGGCTCCTCGGGCACAGAAGGTACACAGCTGTNGGGCTAAGGATCCAGGCTCCTCGGGCACAGAAGGTACACAGCTGTCACCCAGAAGACGCAGTCCCAGCCTACCTCTTGCCCAATCCTACAACCTTACAGACCTTCAAGTGATTTGTGCTCCGTGAAAGCCGGGTGCGGAATTGCTATCGAACACCCATCTCTGAGATACGAACCTTCTTCCCTTCCTTGGGAGAGAAGCGGCTCTATTCCCTGAGCCACCCCAGTTCGCACTTATTTGTTAAAATGTTAAAAGCTAGATTCTGGAACCATTAAGATTGAGTATTAGTACCTGGCAGTTTTGAAATCGCTCCTTTTTTATTTCACGCTCTGTATAATTTTTCTAAGAAATTAAATAAAAAATTTTCTATGGATCGCAAACTAATGTTTAAGTGAGGAAGAGAACAAAAAAGTTAGCAAAATTTTTCAAACAACAATCAAAGACAATAAATATAAAATCAAAACCAATTTATTTGCTTGGCCACCGCAGGTGGCCAGGCTACCCGCGAAGCGGGTTTACGTCTTTTCGTGGTCACTGCATTAACAATATTCCCCACACATCCGGAGGTCCGCAGGATCCAGGCCCCTCGGGCACAGAAGGTACACAGCTGTCACCCAGAAGACGCGTGTGCTGTCCCAGCACACCTCTTGCCCAATCCTACAACCTTACAGACCTTCAAGTCATACTATTTTTTAAATTTTTTTATTTTTTATATCCCTCATTAAACAGCCGACCCAATTTTAGATTTACTACCACTAATGTTCAACTTCGTAGCCCTGAAGCTTTGAACCAATCCAGAAGACAAGGAAACTCCTGGATCAGTTCCCCCAGAGGTATTGATTTGCTATGGGAACTTTTGCGACGCGATAGGTTTAGCGTGCATTAGTCACCATATACTACACGGGGAGTCTCCGGCCGGCTGGGATCGAAGCCACAAACACTTGGACATGGGCCCAGTGCCCTACCAACCAGGCTATCCCGGCCCTCTACTATTTGTTTCGAAAATTGAAATGGTGGCACAGATCATTTGGTCATTTGGTTTGGGTCATTTCGAGCGTTATCAGACAAATAAACTGGGTTTAATTATCTTAATGGCACTTATGCTTCATGATACTTATTCACCTAATATATGCTAGTTTTTCTTTTTCACTTAAATATTAATTTGAAACTCTAAATACTTTTATTCTAATAGTGACCACTTAATATATATATAAAGGTAATGAATAATATGCATTACAGGGTGGCTACTAAATACACTCAAAAAGATTGGAATTAATTTGAAACGTCTCTCTCACTATTACTGTAATCGCTTTCTATAAGTGCAAACGTTTTTTGCTTAGAGCAAAAACATTTAAAATAAATTTAAAGATGGTTAAACAGCTTTCCAATCCTTCTCCTTTAAGCACTTTAAATCTCTTCGGTTTAATAGAATATTTATAGAGTAGTTGTAGTTCATTTACGTCGCACTAGAGCTGAACAATGGGATGTCGAGGAAATATCCCTGAGGGTAATCCAAAGACCTGCCATCACAATCCTCTTCTGAGGGGATGGCAGGAATATTTATAGAGAGAGCTATGAATTGGATTCTATTAGCTGTATAACGATCGTCCATGCTTAGTTCGTGCCAAAGAGAGCATTAAAAGAATTTGTGAAAAGATACAAAGAAATCTACCACGCTCTGCTAATAAATTGAGAAGAGAACGTGATTTGTAGAACTATGAAGTTATATTAAATGAAGACCTGTGATTTCACTCTTATTGCAAATAAAGATATTACAAATGTAGGCTACACAGATAACCGGGTTCTGTATAATGGAAGGNCGAGCGTCAGCGAGCAGGGGGCGGAGCCTCCTAGTATAATATATTAGACTTGAAAATATATTAGGCATATTTCTGTATATGTTTTTGACATCAAAGTTCTCATTTGAACAGAGAAATTAAAAAACCAAATAATCCCCTTTAAACCAGCTGTTTATAATAATTAGAAAGCTCTGGAGTGGAATGCTTATAACCGAAATAGACAATAGTGTAAATTAAATGCAGGCTATACAGATAACCGGGTTCTGTATAACCGAAGAATATACAGAATTTTTTAACCCGTCTCATACAGTATTTTGCAACATCGTCGATTTTTGAGACACCTGTGCTAACTATTATATATAGAGAATCAAGGACAAAATAAAATAGTTTTTTCAAAAATGTTTTATACATATTTCTTAGCATATTTGTATGTTTTTCAAAATTTTGACACCTACCCTTTGACTTGATATTAGTATCAAGGTTCTCATTTGAACTGAAAAATTATAAAAAAATATTGAATTGTTCACCAAATGATCCCCTTAAAACCAGTTATTATTAATAATTAGAAAGCAATGGAGAGGTATGCGTATAACCGAACTCGACAATTGCTTATGTTACCGGCAAAGTATGAAACGCCGGCATTATACACTGAAGAGCCAAAAAAACTAGTATACCTGCCTAATATCGAGTAGGGTCCCCGCGAGCACGCTGAAGTGCCGCAACACGACGTGGCATGGATTATACCGGGCAAATGTATACCGAGCAGTGTCACTTAACTGGACCTAGTATGACTAGACCTTTGGTAAATGTCAGAAATATATACTATAGGTCTAGTTAAGTGCCATTGCCCGGTTTATCCTACACTGAAACATTCTCTAACAGCAGATTGCCTTACTCGCCCCTCAAAACAAGTTCCCTCGCTTTACCTGCAGTGTTCGAACATCCCATAGAGATGGGAGGAGAACTTTCCTTCGGATATTTTTGGACTAAATTCCAAATTTGTGAAAACAAAATAGTTCCTCTTTGTTTTCGTAACTATCAATTAATAGATAGTCAGATTTTGGAAAACTTTTTATATTTTTCAGCCAAGATTATGATCTATTTTGGTAAAATAAAATTTCCTCTCAAATGTCGGATTGAAAAATAGTTTAGAACTACTTTTGAGACTTCAGCATACTCACTATTACTGTTTTTAAATATATGTCAGGAAACAATATTTAGTAATAGTTCCTTTGTAAAAATAACTGTTACTAATAGGAAACAATATTTAGTAACAGTTCCTTAGTAAAA